ATTAACAAAATAAAAACAAGTCTATGAGAGTCAAAATTTGACCTTGAATATATCCCACCTGAATTTAGAGTTCATCTTAAGAACAGATTTAATACATTATACACTAAAGACCTAAGACCAGAAGAGTTGTCGGAAGACATCAGAAACATCATAGAGGAAGAAAGCAAAAAGTCATTAAGAAGACAAGAAAGAAGGAAAAAAAATCAAAATGGATTTCAGAAGAGACACTGAAACTTGTTCTCCAGTGTAGTGATGCTAAAGCAAATGCAAGGAATAGGAGGCACAAAAGCTGAACAGAAAATTTCAAATGTCAGCTAGAAAAGACAAAGTCAAATATTATAACGGAATGTGCAAAGATCTGGAGTTAGAAAACCAAAAGAGAAGGACATGCTCAGCATTTCTCAAGCTGAGAGCACTGAAGAATAAATTCAAGCCAAATTTTGTCTCTCATACTTCACACATATTGTCAGGAGGCACCAGTCACTGGAGAAGGATATTATGTTTGGTAGGGTGGAGGGTCAGAGAAAAACAGGAAGACCCCCATTGAGATGGATTGGCAAAGTGGCAGCATCAATGGTCTCAAATGTGGCAATGATTGTGGGGTTGGTCCAGGACCAGGAAGTGCTTTGTTCTGTTGTACATAGGGTTGCTATGAGTCAGTACTGACTTGATGGTACCTAACAACAACAAGAAGGTTGTGCACAATCTATAATGGTTGGTGATTGTTTGCCACTGAGTCAGTTTCAACTCATAGTGACCTTGTATAGGGTTTCAGAATCTGTAAATCTTTACAGGAGCAGAAAGCCTCATCTTTCTCCCATGGAGTGGCTAGTAGATTCAAACTGGTGACCTTGCAGTTAGCATCCCGGCTTGTAATCCACTACGCTACCAGGGATCTTTCAACCTATAATATATAGTCAAAAATAACTATTAAGTGAATAAAGCATAAATTCTAATCATGATCAGATTTTCTTTTATAACTCATTGGAAATAGGTACTATATTACAAGTAATCCTGACTGTTTTATGATATGACATGATTGTGATTTAGGCTCTAGTCTAGAATATCATAATGAATTATTTGCATTTTACCTAAGACTAGAGAAAAAATACTTGCTAACATCAATTGCCACTTAGAAATTGACATTTTCTATTACTGCATTTTTATATTTCTTCTTGTGATGTTATAATATACTTCATATATGTAGTTATCTCTATATTTTAGTCTACTCTGATTTATGGCAAATAGCACTTAAATATTTTATTATAAATTTTGTGTTAATTCAGCCTATTTTTTAGTCCTTGGTGTCTTGAGGACTCCAATCTCTATGGTGTATTTTGTTTTTTCATTCAAAAAATCCCCTGAGTCCATTTTAAAGGGAGAAGATAAAATAATGACCAAGTTGAATAATGTACTTCTGCACAGATAATCATATTATGTTATCCAGTAAGCTTGGAAAGACATTTGACTAGCCTTCATTTTATCTATAACTTATATCAACATTAAGATAATACTATATCAAGTGACAATAGCTAGTATATACCAGAATCTTAGATCCTTGGAATATTTTGACTGGATATATATGTGTCCTTTTTGTGAACATATAGAGAATATCTTGGAATGTTCTTTATTATAAATATTTTGGATGTTTATTCACAAATATGCCAGAGACAGGACAGATTGCAAAAACAGAACAGATTAAAAATCCTGAAGCATTTAAGTTTAAATTAGCAAATTAAAGGAACCATTAAAAATGGCATTGACAAAACCTGTCAGATATACAATGAAAGTAAGTACATTTCTGATTTTTGTCAATATATTTTGTGTTTCAGTAGTATATAGCTATGATTTATTCCAATAAAA